GCAAAAACCAAACATTCTCTTCCTTGCAGCTGACAGGATTCCCAGTGGCTACCATTTGTGTCAAAATGTATGCAAATGGATGTGCAAGAATATGTATGTGTGAAAATGAGTATGTGTACAAAGGCAAAATTGCCAGATGACCCTCCCCATCCCATTGTTCCCTATGAACAGTGGTACAAAGATGAGAGCGTGTGTACAAAAATGTTTTTTTTGTGTGTGTGTAAGAAAGCATATGTGCTCAGAGGCAAGCGTGGGCAGGTGTGGACAAGAGGAAACTAAAAGAGGTCATCCCTGCTCTGGGACCTCCACTTCTCCCTCTGTTTTATCACCCTTCACATCCTCTTCAGCCTCCAGGGAAGAAGAGGGCCCTTGGTCTGGCCCTTGAGTTTCTGAGTTCAGGGTCAGGAGCCTCCTATCTTTTCTTCCCTCAGCTCCTCTGAGGCCATAACCTTCCTCTCGGACTGTGAACTGTTCCAGGTATCAGTGTAGGGGGCTGTTGGGCTTTCTGGCACCACCTTCCTTCTGCATGTGCCCCACCACCACCACTCCACCAAAGCTGACCCACAGGCCATTCCCTCTCTTGCTGTCAGACTTCCTCTTAACTTAGAGAACCCTGGGATGGGGAAGGTCATCTGGCTTTGGAGAGACCAAGTCTTCTAATTCAGGTTTGTACCAACTCCAGCATGCCTGAGTCTGGCTATCCATTGCCTCCCTGCCAGGGCCTGCCACCCGCCACCATGGATGTATAGAGTCTGGATCATGGGATTTATTCATGAATGATTCTACAGCCAGTGGGAGCAGGCAGGGGAGCATTGGGCATACAGCTTGAGGCTTTGGAATGTTACTATTCCTTCCTTTGTGGACCTCAGTTTTCCTTTTAACAGGTTGGGTACAACTATGCCCTACTGGCTGCTGATGGCTGGGGTGCTTTTAGTACTCGAAAGTTGTGTTGGTTTGCTCATCCAGAAAGTACCTCCGGAGGCCTGGCTTCAGGAGGATAAGTCCCCTTGAAACCTCTTTGCAGCCTTCTTGTCTCTGGGGCGGGGGCTGCACCTGCTGTGGCAGGCTTACCTCCCCAGTGTGATGCAAAGATGCCAGAAAGGTTTGTCCACCTCCCCACATTCTACTGAGGTGCCTAAAATCCCAAGAGGTCAGACTCAGGAGTTCCACTGACCTCTCTGAATTTGGGGTCTGCTCCTTCCTACCTGTGTAGACTTGGGCAGATGCTGCTGTCTGAGTCTCAGTGTCATCATCTATAAAATACAGATAATAGCAGCCACATTAGTCCTGGTGTGAGGAATAAATGAAATAATGCATTGAAAGCACTAAATATTAGGAAGTGCTTGATACACAAGTTTTGGGGTCTTTTTGAATAGAGGGTTTTCAGTCACCAAGGACTCCCCAATGAAAATGCACAGGGACATTAAGGAATCTCTTGAGATGCTTCTGATCACTAGGACTGGAGGAGAAGAGGAGCCAGAGAGGTGTGGAGACTGTTGCCAACTTCCGCTAGCTGGACCAGTGGGGTTGGGCTGGCAGGCGCACCGGGAGCTGTCCGTGGTGCTGAACATCTTTTTTTTTTTTTTTTTTTTTGCTCTCGCCCGGCCTAGCCTTCAGAAATCTGTGCAAGCGTCTGGCAAAGAGTAAGGAACATAGTGTACACGGCCAAGGTCAGCTCCCAAATCCCAACTCCGATTACCTCTTCCAGGAGCACTTTATGACCTCATCCGTCTGGGCCCCCAGGAGCCCACCTTTTCAGATGCCTGGGCTGCCTCAGATGTTTCTTACATCATTGCCCAACTTGTCTTCTGTCTAAAACTTGTCCTCTGATTGGACCATGAGCTCCCTGAGATCAGGGCATCTCTCTGCTGAGATAAATAGATTCTGCCATCCAATTGTCCAGGGAATATTTTGGGCCCTGACTGCCACCACTGGCTGCTTGAACCATTTTAAGTTCCCTTCCACCACCCCAGTTGATGCTTTGCTTTGATTCCCCCCTGGAAGATTTCACCTACCTCCCTCACCTCTTTCCTGTGACTTGAATTACTTACTCATTTAAAAATATGGGCTAGGCATAGGTCAGAGCATTTTATAAATATCAATTCATTTCACTCTTAAAAAAGTTCCACTAGTTTGTTAATATTATCCTCATGGAGCAGATGAGGAAACTGAGACTTAGAGAGATTAAATGACATACTAGTAAATGATGGAACCAGGAATCAAGTTCAAATTTTTTGGCCTAAGAGCCTGTATTTATTTCTTCTCACCACATTATGCTGCCTTTTGAATTTCTCTTTGATGCTCCAGAACAGTGGTGTGTGGGAAGAAGTACTCTAGTATTCCGACCCCAGCCCAGATCAGGCACCAGAAATATCCCTTAGCATCTGGAAACTCATGATTGAAACAATTAGTCAGAATGCAAGGAAATGGGTGTTTTTGCCTCGTGTAATTTGGTTTTATGAAGATCACTAAATGCAAACATTCTCCTGTTAATTACTGCCTCAAATTTGGGCTGTAATTGAGAGAACTAGAGCTTGGAGAGTGTAGAAACCACTGGAGTGGCAGGCCTACCTGAGTCAGCATTCCCAGCCGCCTTGCACCCGCTCTGTTAATTTTAGAAACTCTTTCAGTCTGGGTGTATTATTAGCTTTATGTACAGAGGGCCACAGGGCCCTCCATGGCCTTTATGTCACAATTTTTTGTTTTGTTTTTCCCAGGAGATTAAGTAAAAGGAACAATGACCATGTGTATATAGGGGTGTTTGCACTCTGGCTGTGTGAAAGGGGATACCTGTGTATGGCACTAATGAGTTGTCAGCAGCTGTTTTTGAATGAGTTCACGAGGCTGAGTGAAGCATGTACACAGCTTGAGAGCAGCATAGAAGCTGAAACCACTCTCGCAGGGCCCACGAGTCATTAGCAGGATGCACTGTGTTCTGTGTAGTGAGTGTGAAGGCTGGGGTGGGTTTTCCCAGGTGGCATAAGGGGAGTGGGGCTGATGAAAGGGTGGTGGGCTGTGGGGCAGGGAAGGAGATAAAGTTGACCTCTTGGCACCATACTTAGAATGAAAGGCCTTAGCCCAGTGAGGCTCTGACTTGAAGTCTCATCTTGAGCCCCTGAAGAACGTGGCTTTCAAAGGAGCGGCCAGAAGCTGTCTTTCAGGAAGCCATACTCCCCAGGGCTCTGTGAGGTGGGACGGCCGTCTCGCCCTCCTTCCCTGAAGCAGGCCCTGCTCTCTTCTTGACTCATAGCACCATTTTTGAGTCTGACAAAGAAAACAATTTGCTGTGAAGTAATTTTTTTTCAAACTTGGACCTCATTAGGCAGGGGCACTTTGGTTTTATGGTGGGACTCTCCGAAGACTCAAGCACAGTTTGTCTTTCTGCCTCCCACTTTCTTCCTCCTGGCTTCCCTGCAGTAGAGAATTAAAGATAGCTGAACTGTTATTTCTCTTGGGAGAAGATATGCTATGTCTGCCCAACATAATACCTTTATCTGTCATTGTGTAACTGTCTAAATTACTAGCAGAGGGAAAAGCTCTGCGGTGCAAGGTTTTTGTTTTAGGGCCAGCCCTGGAGTGGCTGGTTCTTGGGCAGGGCGCCTGGTCGTGCCTCTAGACATAGGGTCTATGCCTACCTGTGCTGTCTTCATGCTCCATAAGGGCCCTTTGTGGGCCAGGTAGGAGACCTGTGAGTTAGTTTTTACCTCCTCATATTGCTTAACCTTTCAGAGGCTTCACCCTGAGGGTCCCTCCCCACCTCCCCCAGGAAGTATTAGCAGTTGCTTTGAGCCCTTGGGAGAAGTGATGCTGGAAGCCCCCACTGGTCTCACTCCATTGCATTGAGTGGTACCTGAAATCCCCCATTAATACTGCCTATCACTGTGCTCTACACCTGAAACTAACACAACATTGTCAATCAACTATACTCTCATAAAAGTTTTAAAAAGTTTTTTATCACAAAAACTTCCAGTTAACTGAAACAATGGATGTACCTTCTACCAAATAATGTTTAAAGGAAACTTTTTAAGAAAAAAATGAGAAAATATTTGTAATATTTTATTGTGATTGATATATTGATTGTGCAATCCGTGTTTATTTAAATATGTACTTGAACATGAAAAATATCTACTTTGCTAAGTATATATTATTTGTTGGAAAAAATGAAATTGTTGAAATATATTAAAAAAAAAAAAAACACGCTGCCTGCATTTGAAGATATCACTGACCTTCCCGACCACTGTGTTAGAAGCAAACCTCTAGGGGAGAAAGATGGTCAGAGATTTTCTGACTGTAGGGAATAGACTAAAGGGAGACCTGCCTCCCCTATCCCCCCACCCCCCGCCAACCCCGAGAGCCAGTGTGGGAGAAGGCCAGATCAGAATTATAGGACTGAGTGTGCAGACCCCACCCTTCATTGCACAGTGGGGAGACTCAGGCCCAGGGTGGGGGAGGGCACCGGCTTGATGTCACACAGTGTTAATGACAGAGTTGGGACTGGATCCCATGCCCACAGTCTCCCAGACTCCCGCTGTGTGTCTGGTCCTCCCCTGTTCTCCGGTTACGGTCTGTGGCATGTCTGACTGCCAGCCTGTCTCAAGCCACAGTTGACCATCAGGGAGGATGGAACAGCCTGGCCTGAGCCTGGGGGTGGTGCAGGGTGAACTACTTCTGCCACTAAAACAGCCTCTCACACACTCTGGATGTCATTATTTAGTTTGCTTCTCAGCCTCTCACTGGGGTGTAGGGATTGGAGTAGGAGGCTTGTCATCGGGGAGCTCATGGAGAGGCAGGCAAAAAGCATCCCTAAGGATGACTAAGGAAGAGCCTCTCTCTATGCCCGTCACTACATCTTGCCCTGGTACTCATGCGCCTATCTCCTGCAGGATTTTGGAAACTCTCAAGACTTCTCTCTCCCACCTTTGCTCTCTCTGAGCTTTCTTTTGGGGTCTGTCATTTATTCCTTCTCTCCTCCTAAGACTGACCAGTGTATCTCTGGGCAGATTTTACTGGGACCTGACCATGCTGCTGCTGATGGTAGGAAACCTGATCATCATTCCCGTGGGCATCACCTTCTTCAAGGATGAGAACACTACACCATGGATTGTCTTCAATGTGGTGTCGGACACATTCTTCCTCATCGACTTGGTCCTCAACTTCCGCACAGGGATCGTGGTGGAGGACAACACAGAGATCATCCTTGACCCGCAGCGGATTAAGATGAAGTACCTCAAGAGCTGGTTCGTGGTAGATTTCATCTCCTCCATCCCCGTGGACTACATCTTCCTCATTGTGGAGACACGCATCGACTCGGAGGTCTACAAGACTGCCCGGGCCCTGCGCATTGTCCGTTTCACCAAGATCCTCAGCCTCCTGCGCCTCTTGCGTCTCTCCCGCCTCATTCGATATATTCACCAGTGGGAAGAGGTGAGTGTTCAGACCCAAACCTCTTCAGGGAAGAGGTACCTCAGGAGAGTGAGAGGCCAACAATAGTTGGATGTGGGCTGTCAGATTGTAGTAGGCACATCTCCTCCAAGAGCACAAATATTAGCAATTTCTTGACTTCTTATCATGTGCTAGATACTACACAAATCACTTTACAGGCAGTATCCCATTTAAGTTTCTAACAAGCATGGAAGATACCAAAAAGGTACATGTAAGTACTCATTTTTCACATGAGGAAATAGAGAAAGATGAAGGGATTTATAGAAGGGATTTATATAATGTCACAGAATTATTAATTGGTAAACCTGAACTCCATAGCTTGCCTTGTTAATCGCTGCACTTTATTGTGGGGTCTGAAAACTCATAAGCCTGGCAGAACGTATGAAAATGGCCATTTGAAAGACAATAAGGAGTGTGGTGGACTGCAGAAAACTGGAGAACATATCTTCCATCTGTATCAGGCACTTTTGCTCATCTCTGGCCACTGCAGCCAAATGGGATGGGCCCTGGGTTTCTAGATCTACAGATCTAGAAGCAGATCTAGATCTAGAAGCAGAAATGGGGATTTTTGTGCAAATTTTGTTGACAACTATCTTAGATTGGGCTCTTCTGGTGCAGACCCTCAGGTGAGGATTTGTATAAGGTGACTTTGTGTGTGTGTGTGGGGAGAAAGTGTTTCTAGGAAAATCTGGTAAGAGATTGGAGAAGAGGGACAGGGGAAGGAAGGAAAGGAATAGAAAGGAAAGAAGGAAGCCAAACAAGGGTGACACCAAGCTAAGTCTCAGGGGACGCTCTGTGACAGGATATAGCACACCTCCTGACCTCAACTTGAAGGCAACAGAAGCAGTGGCAGAGGATGAGAGGGTTGGATGGCATCATCGAGTCAATGGACATGAATTTGAGCAAACCTGGGGAGATGGTGAAGGACAGGGAAGCCTGGCATGCTGCAGTCCATGGGGTCACAGAATCAGACTTGAATTAGTCACTGAACAACAATAGCAGCAGCACACCTGGGAGCTGTCCCAATCAGGGCAAAGGAGAGGGACATTTTCTATCCCTTCACCGGTCAGTCACTGGTTCAGGGCACTGACAGCCCTCAGTGCTAGCAGGCAAAGTGGTTTCCTGTAGCCAGACCTCTGATAAAGAACTTTGAGTGCTGGCTGTAGGGAATGCAAGCCTGGTGCTTTCCTGGAGACATGTGAGCACAAACTGTAAAAGGATGCTCGGGGTCCTGGGCAGAGTACTGGCTATAGAAACTAAATAAAAATTGTAAAAGAACTAAGTGGCCAAAACCATTCCGAACAAACCTAACTCATCTGTGGGCTGAATGCAGCCATCTATGGGAGCAAGAGAGGACTAAAGGCTGGCAGCAGCAGGCAGGCCAGCCTGGAGGTACCAGGCTCAGGGTCCAGCATGGTCCCCTGCCTGGGGAAGCTTCTGCAGAGGACCATGTCTTGCCATGACTCACTGCTAACCTCCTGGTCTTTGGAACCTCTGAGTGATTGGACGGAAGTGCCATGCGTGGGACAGCAAGCCCCATCCCCTGCCCGCTCCCTGCAGCAGCCTGGGCTCTGGGCAGCAGCACCCATGGCTGATGGTCAGGGCACTGGCAGATTGAGGTCAGAGGTGTCGTGAACACCTGTGCTGCAAAGTGCCTACACCAGCCTGGCAGAATCCCTTCATGACAGGAATTCTCTTTGGGCTGAAAAATTTACATGATTTCTGCTGATAGAAGGAGCAATGGCTTGTCCAAGGTCACACAGCAGACCTCTAGCAGGGCTGGATCAGGTCCAGTTAGTGCTTTTGGCTCCCAGCAGTGTGGTCCACGTCCCTGCAGAGCGTGGAAATGTGTGTGGGCTTTGGGGTTAGGATGACTCATGTGAGACCTGAATTAAAATCCTGGCTGACTGACAGAGAGGCAACCTTAACCCCGAGCCTCAGTCTCTTATCTGCAAAGTGGGAATAAGTCATACCTTCCTCAGTGGATTGTTGCAAGGATTAAAAGAGATAATGTTTGCAAAACCCTTGGTGTGAAGCCAGGTGCAGAGAACTGTTTAATAGACGCTCCTCCCCACTCAATTTTCTTGTAACCCCCCGGCTTCTACAGGGTGTTTACTCTTCTCAAATACTTTCTGTCCATGGTTTCATTGGTTCCTCACACCTGGGTGACAAGGTCAACAGGGTGGGATTTATTATCCATATTTGTCAGAAAAAACTGAGGGTGAAGGGGTCAGCTGCCCCAGTGGCAGGATTTTGACCCAGGTCTCCCGACTCCAGTTTTCTGCCCTTCCCAAGTTCTCAGGTAGCCTGAAAGGAGGCTGACTGGGTCTGTTACCGCTCCCTCTGTTGGGAGAGACTCCCAGCTCAGACTGGGGAGGCAGGCAGTGGAGGGAAGAAGGGGGTGGGGTGAGTTCTTTGGGACAGTTTGGGTTTGAGGAACTTGAGGGACATGGTGCAGAGAGGGGTTGGCACATGGGTCTGAACTCAGGGCTAAGAGGGGATAGTGCCTGTGGGGGGTCAGGGTAGTGGTGGCCAGAGCAGCTCTGAGTGGTTGCAGAAGGAAGATGGAGGTGAACCTCCTGGAATGTCCTGATGGGCTTATCTCTTGGTTTCTGTCCCAGGTGGAAATTCAGAACCATGTGGGGCCCTTGAGTCCCCAAGAAACCCCAGAAGTTCTGTGTGTCTTGAACTTACCGCTGGTCTGCGGTTTAAAAGCAGAGGAGTCAGGACTTCCCTGGTGGTCCAGTAGTTAAAATTCTACACTCCCAGGGCAGAGATGCAGGGGGTGTGGTTCCATCCCTGGTCAGGGAACTAAGATTCCACATGTTGTGGAATACGGGGGGAAATAAAGCAGAGGCGTCTCTCTTTCCCTTCTCTGATATCAGTCCATGTCTCCAGGCCCCAGACCCTTGGGGGTGAACCTTGCTTCTCACCATGGCCCTGGGGACCATGTATTCTGGGGAGAGTTGGCTAAGTCGCCAGTGGATGGGCAGGGTGGGCCCGTGGATGGGCCCTAATCACCCCTTTCACTGTCCCCACCACCCCTCTGGCCTGTTTCCCCTCTGGGCTACCCAAATCTGGCCAGGCAGGCTCTGACCCTGGACAAAAGCCCCAGGTCGGGGCTGGAACTGGACAACGTTACCTCCTCTCATGGGCAGGAAGGGAGATCCTGGGAGGCCAGATGGAAGACTCCCTGCCCCACCCCCCTCCGTCCACACACACACCCTTATCTTGCCGACCAGCTGGGAAGGAAATTACTTTGAGTTGGTGGCTGCCGGGCACACTGTCTAGCCAAGGGCTCCCACTGAACCCCTGGGATTGGATTGGGGTTTCCCAGATGGCCCCAGGAGCCCTGATTCCAGATTCTCAGTAGCCTACCCAAGTCCTTTGGCTGGGAGGAAGCAGCAGGGAGGCCCTTTGAGGCCTCCAATCTTAGGCTGAACTGAGGAAGGAGGTATTTCACAGAGAAGACTCTGCTCCGTCTCCTCCTCGGACTGTAACTCACATGAATCTCTTCCCTTCTTTGGACTTCAGTTTCCCCAGCTGTCGCATGTGCTCTGATGTTCTCAGAGGCTGGGCTTCAGTCCCCCTCCAACCTCCCTTGGCAAGGATCATGTTAGCTGGTCATCCTGAGGATATGGTCTTGGCCCTGGGTAGGGGCTGGGGAGTTGGCCTCCTGTGGGGAGGGAAAAGCTGCTGAGAGGCTGGGTTCCCGACCCTCAGCCTTCAGATCCCTCCTCCAGCCCAGCCCAGCCCAGGCCAACCTCCCAGTCCAGAGTTCCGGAATGTTAGTGTAGCCACTCTTAGGAGTCAGGGCAGGTGGAGGGTCTTGGCAGGCGTAGGCGATTGTCTCAGAGGATGCCAGCCTCTGCCTCCATCCTGGGTGATCTAGGTCAGCATCCTCCTCCCAAACCTCTCCCAGCCAAGCCTCTTCCCTCCCTCTGAGGTGCGAGCTTGTTATAGGCACGGAGGCTATTGTTAGAAACCATGGTTACCCCCCTTCAGATGTTCCCCTGCAGGGCCCAGCACCCCAGTGACCCATCCCAGAAGCCTCTTCTTTCCCTCGGCAGCATCTTGGAGTGGTGGGAGGGGCTAGGGGCAGAAGGTGAGGCCAGCGCGGCTATGCAAACCCTGATGAGTTTCTTCTCCTTTTGGGCCTCAATTTTTCTACCTCTCTCAGAATTGGGAGTTCAGGATGACCCAGAAGCATGGTCCTGGGGGGTGGGAGTGGGTCCTCTCTACGGGCCCCAGGAAGGGACCTAGCGTGACGCTCAACTCAGCCACCTCCAGTTGGTACCCAGGAAACACACACACCAACCACTCTCTCCGGCCCTGGACTACTGTCCTTAATGTGGTCACTTGTTCCAGAGACACAGGGAGGAGGTTTTTCCTCTTCCCTAGGAGGAAATGAGTCTCTGGAGGGAACTCAACCAAGAAGAGGCCTTGGCAGAAACTCCAGTTTCGTCTCTCCCCAGGACTGAGGAAATCAGCTCTTTGTTTTGAGGGCTGTGGAAAAGATGGAAGGAAAGGAACTACCATGTGCTGAGTACCTCCTGTGTGCCAGCTGATCCCCAAGGCAGCCCTGGGAGCTGGCATGAGGAAACAGGTTCAGAGCAGAGAAGGCACTTGCCCACTGTGGGAGGTGGTGGGAGACATGTTGCCCTGCCTGTCTGGACCACATGCTGCCCTTTGGTCCAGAAAATGCAGAAGGGAGTAGGAGTAGGAGCATCCCTTGAGTGCCATGCTAGGCTTAGAGAGGGAACTGCCCAGGCCACCTGCCTAGCAAGCCTTGTGGGGCCCTCAAAATGAAGACACTCAACCCCTGGAGTCAGAACCAACATCATAAACAGGGGTTTTAATGAGGTATAAAGAGCAAGACAAATATTTGCACAGTGCAGCTGACTTGCAGGTGGCCTGTGGCCCCAACTCACAGTGGGGACACACTAGTGTTTAGCAACCTCTCCCAGCAACGTTCAGCCTTGCTCTCAGGAACCATACCTGGGTGCTGTGGAGTGTTGGGGGAGGGATGAGTGTCCACTATCTGCGATCTCCTCCTAGACTGAATGGAAGTGCTCCCCGCGCCCAACTCTCTGCAGAAAGCTCAGACTTTGCATGCTGGTGCCCCTAGCTTAGTGTGTGAAAGCCATCCACATTACTCCTCACACCACCAAAACTCTCACTACCCACCCCTACTGGACCTCCTAGTACCTGCACCCTTTAGCCAATACCAGGCACACTGCCACCACCACCACCACCACCAGTCTCTCTTATGAGGATATGTGAGTCTGTGCCATGTGAAGGAAAAAGCACCTTTTTCCTCCTGCAAAGGCAAGTTCCTCGTGTCTGCTCAGCGTGTGCATGCTCAGCTGCTCAGCCGTGTCTGACTCTCTGTGACCCCGTGCACTGTAGCCCACCAGGTTCCTCTGTCCATGGAATTCTCCAGGCAAGAATACTGGAGTGGGTAGCCATTCCTTCTCCAGGGGATCTTCGCAACCCAGGGATCAATCCTGGGTCTCCTGCATTGCAGGCAGATTCTTTACTATCTGAGCCACCAGAGAAGCCCAGAGTGGGGCCTTTTTCAAATGCCACTGTGTACACTCATAGCACCTCTGACCCCTATCATCCCCATCACTGTCTTCCTCACCTTCACCTTTGTCACTTAAGCACTTCTCAGTTCCTGAGACCCTGCCACTTGTTCTGCACACTCATTGCCAAGATCATGATAAAGGCAAGATTATACAGGGGCCTGATCTTGGAAGAAAATTAGTTACAAAGAAAAGAAAAACAAGAATGATAGAAAAAGGAAAGACACATTGCATTAAAATGTGCCAACCTTGGTCTGGTCTTTAAGACCCAAAGCAAGACATAGGAAGAAGCCATTATCACAGGCTGTAGAGTCTGGGATGTATTTTAAAATTGGTCCAAGGCTTTCTTCAGTGCAGTATATGGTTCAGGCTATTAGAACAAGATACCACGGGCTGATGGGCTTAGACAACAAATATTTATTGTTCACAGTTCTGGAGGCTGGAAGGATATTAGAATGCTGTCGTAGTCAAGTTGTGGTAAGGGGTAAGGGTCCACTTCCTGGTTTGTAGATAACCATCCTCTTTCTGTGTCCTTAGGTGGCCATAAATTGTCTCATATGTCTCTTCTTAAAAAGGCACTAATTCCATTCATGGGGACCCCACCCTTATGACTGAATCATCTCCCAAAGGCTCCACTTCCTAATACCATCACATTGAGGTGTAGGGCTTCAATGTATGGATTTTGGAGAGACAAACGTTCAGTTCATATGAGTTGGAAATGAAGGAACTTAATAATAATGATCCTGTCCCCACTCCACCTCCTATGTATTTCTGTATGGCCCAGAGCACTTTCTTAGCCAGTTTAATTTCTTGAACAACCCTGAGAAGTGGGGACAGATGTATAGCTTTATTGTAGTTGAGGGGAAGCTGAGGGGTGGTGGGAGGTGAGAACAGATGCTAGCCATCTCTGAGACTAGGTGGCTCCATGTCACTCACCCTCCCCATCCCCCCAGAGTGGGGTGGGGGCTGGTGTCACCCCCTGTCAACCAAGACTGTGAAAGGTTAGTGAGTCCAGGGTCATGGAGGTACCTAAGCAGGTACTGAAGAGACATAAGTGGAATGTTCCCTTGGAGCTGCAGCTGAGGCGCTGGTCCTCAGGAGCTGCCTGCCCTGCCTGTCACTATGCCCACCTCTACTTACACAGAGATGTGTCAGCTCAGCCAGGCAATGGCATGCTGACAGCCCTGGGACTGCATTATGGGCCCCAGTGGGGCTAGGCTGCTGGGCACCCAGCTCTGTCCACAGTATTACACTGTGTGCCAGGCTTCCAAGGTGAGACACCTGAGGTCCAGCTTGCAGTGTGGATCTGGCCACATCACTTGGTCACGTTGGGTTTGAATTGTAGGGCTTCCCTGGTGGCTCAGATGGTTAAGAATCTGGTTGCAATGCAGGAGACCTGAGTTCAGTCCCCTGACTCAGGAAGATCCACTGGAGCACGGAATGGCACCCTACTCCAATATTCTTGCTGGGGAAATCCCATGAACAGAGGAGTCTGGGGGGCTACAGTCCATGGGGTCACAAGGAGTCATACACAACTGAGCAACTAACACTTTCACTTTATTTACAAAACGTAGTTACTGAAAACCACCCTTTCTGCCCTGGACCAGTCTAAGAATTTGCAGGTAGCCCTGGGTTCCAATCTGCCTCTTCTGTTGCCACCATGACTGAGGGCAAGTGCTTTTACTTCTCTGAGCCTGGGTATAAATGGGTTAACAACATCTTCAGCAAAGTGGTGTTGTGAGTTTGAAAGAGATGATGAATGAGGGACTGGGTGCCTCCCGGCAGGTACAGTGTTACTGTCCCTCTGTCCCAGGGATATAAGGGGTGATGGGACAAGCTCGAGCTGCCATCGTTCATGAAACTGTCCAAGGTCTGTTTTGTCTTTTCAGCTGGTACATCCAGAGTCATGCTACTAAGGGGGCCACAGGTGGGCACAATCCAGGGGGTGATGGGCAAGACGTATTCATCTTCAGTTTTTCCAGACCAAGACCCAGGCTAAGCCCACATTTCAGAAGGGGAAACTAAGAGGCTTCCCTGGTAGCTCAGTGGTAAAGAATCCACCTGCCAATGCAGTAGACACAGGTTCGATCCCTGGTCTGGAAAGATACCACGTGCTGTGGAGCAACTAAACCCATGCACCACAACTCTGTGAGCCTGTGCTCTGGAGCCTGGGAGCCACAACTACTGAGCCTGTGTACTGCAGCTACTGAAGCCCACGCACCTGGAACCTGTGCTCCGCAATGAGAGAAGCCACTGCAACAAGAAGCCCGAGTACCACAACTGGAGAATAGCCCCCTGCTCATACCAACTAGAGAAAAAAACCCACACAGCAACGAAGACCCACCACAGCCAAAAATAATAATAATTCTTTTTAAAAAAGAAAGTGAAACTAATGTCTCAAGTATCAGAATATCCTACCACCAGCTACAGGGCTGTTGCTAAAAGACCACTAGCCAGGGGTTGAAATATCTAGAGAATGTTTCTTGAGGTCTCAGATTCCCCCATCTGAAATGGACTTGAACTAGCTCTCTGTGGCATTTGACAAGTCTACAGTTTTTGCCCAAAGCCCTTCTCCAGGAAGGCTGTCTACCTGGGAGTAATATGGAGGGACCAAAACTCTGGGTGGGGGCACCCCCAAAGTCTCCCAGGCCAGAAGCAAGGTCAGAACGTCCAGAAGCTTCCCTCTAGACTTCCTTCCACCTCTGTCCCCTGCTGAAACTGAACCAAGAGGAAGCTCTGGGAGGAGGGGATGGGGCAGGGGTGCTGGAATGTGCCCCTCGGGCCTGCCCAGCCACACTTCAGCCCCTCACTTTGGAGCCACAGGAATAGAGATAGATGGGTGGCCATCCACCTGTGGGGTGGATGGCCTGGGGCCCCTCTGGGGTCTGAGGTGGACTGGGGTTGAGGCTGATGTGGGCTGGGGTTGAGGCTGCTGTATTTTATTAAACTGTACAGGAGGGCATTACTTCTCATACATATTAACTCATCAGAAGGATAAATTATTAACAGCATATCAATTAATAATGGTTTGCAATTTATTGAATACTTCCATACCTAGTACTAAGCACTTTATATGTATAATTCAATCTTTCTGACAACCCACTCAAAGTAAGAAGTTATATTGCATTTTCCAGATGAGGCAAAAAGGATCAGAGAGGCTCAGGGACTTTCTCAAGGTCACACAGTTAGGAAGTGGGCAGGAGTGGGGTCTGGGATCAAGGACTGTGGGAACTTGGAGCCTGTGTGTTGATACTGCTCCCTCTCAGTTCCATGACTGCCTTAGGCCGAGCCCGCCTTCCCTGGGGTCTACTGAGAGACTAGTGACAGATTTAGGGAAACACCATTTGCTTGGCCTGACCACACACGATGGTCCCCTGAGAAGCCTCCGGTGGGCTGGCTCTTCTGCATGTTGTCCTCACAGCCCATGAGAGCTGAGGAAGCAGCTTCTCTGCCCACTTTGGGCCTCATGGACCCCGCAGGCCCTCCCTTCATGTGTCTGGCCTGGGCGGCTGGACGCCCCATGGGAGGTGCTCTGCATCCATGCAGATCCCAGATGGCATCCCTCTGGGGCCCCACTGCCTGCAGGCTGCTTCTCCCAGCGCCTGGCCTGACACCTTCTCTCCTCGCCATGGCCAGGGCATGCACCAAGCTGGGCACACCACCCCATGAGTGCAGAGCAGCGTGGGGCTGCAAGCAACTGCGGGATCCTCCGGGTCCGGGAGCAGGCCAGACCCCCCCTGCCCACTGGGCCACTGTCTTCCTCTGCCCGCAGATCTTTCACATGACCTACGACCTGGCGAGTGCCGTGGTGCGTATCGTCAACCTCATTGGCATGATGCTCCTGCTCTGCCACTGGGATGGCTGTCTGCAGTTCCTGGTGCCCATGCTGCAGGACTTCCCCGACGACTGCTGGGTGTCCATCAACAACATGGTGGTGAGCGCCTGGCCTGGCTGTGGGGGCAGGGGGACCGAGGAGGGTGCCCCCGGCCAGAGCAGGTCCCCGGTGTGGAGCCCTTGAGTCCCAGCATGTAGGACCTTCCACCGGGTGCTGATTAGGGCAGCGCCCCTGCCTCTCTGCTGCTGCCTCTGCCACCTTACAGCTTCCACCGATCCTCCACCCAGCTTCCCCAGGGCCCCGACTGCACCAGGGAGGCTACAGCCAGACTGCCCTCAGATTATACCAGGTGTGAGAAGGCCCAGCTGGTGGCTCCTGCCCTCTTACACGTCTGCTCCCAGGGGCAGAACACCCTTTAAAAGCCTCCCAGATCCCACGTGGCTGCCACTTTCTGCTCCAGCAGCAGCCCAGCGCTGTCCTTCTGCCCCCTTGCCCTTCCTCACCCCCCTCCAACCCAGCGCTGTCCTTCTGCCCCCTTGCCCTTCCTCACCCCCCTCCATTCCCTGCCCCACAGATGCACGCTCTGGTCATGCGTGGGGTCCTGAGCAGAGAAGGCAGGTTAGGTGGAGCCTGATCTCCTCCCTCCCCCTCCAGCCCTGTGGGTGGGTGAGAGCAGCCATGGGGCAGGGTCCCACAGCCTCCCAGGGACAGGGTGCTCCAGGCAGGGTGGAAGAGTCCCGGGACCTGTGAGCCTTTCTCTGGCTCTGGGAACCCTTGCTTCCTCCTCTCAATCCCAGTTAGTTTGGTTTGGTCTCTAGGGACCCCAGGGGTGTGTAAACCGGCTTTGGAAAGAGGTGAAAGAGACCCTGAGGCATCTTTCAGCATCAAACAGGCCTTTACAAAACAGCCTTTTGATGAGCTAAGTGTAAATGAATTGGCCATATGGATCGAATTTCCGGGTCCCCAGAGGCTCAGCAGTAAGGCTGGAAGCCATGGTTGGAGGCAACTGGGGGCTGCCCCCCCAACCTTGTCCCCCAGGCTGGGAGCCCAGGGCCCCTCCACCCCTGAAGATTAGCCCTGCAGACCTCGACCCTTGTCTGAACTGAGAACCCCAAGACTAGCTCAGCTCTGTCCAGGATGGTCCAAGTGACCTTGAACTTGGCAGCTCCTGTGCCTTCCTCCAGGTGCTGGGAGCAATCTTGGTGACCTCGGAAGTGCTTAGGGCTCTGGGCAAGAGTTTGGGGGTCATGCATGAGGGTTGATTTCCACATCAATGCTAATGCACCCGCCTTGTGGGCAGAGAGAACTGGGGAGGTGGGGTGTCACCACCCGGTAGCCCCCTCATTTGGGGTAATTTGCTCTGTGTGTGGGTGACAGGCCCACACATGCACCAAATTTAGGAGGTGGCCCTTCCAAGCCCAGTGTTCCCACACTGAGCCTTCCTTGAGACACCGACTGGCTTTGCAGACAAAAATAGCCAGGAGCCTCGCTCCCTTTCTCCATCCTCCTGCCCCCAGCCTTGTGTGGGTTTCAGACCATCCACCTTTGGGGTGGGGGAGGGTAACAAGTGGCTGCAGCCCTGGCTGGATGCAGGCTGGGTTCACATAGGAGGCCCCTTAGCTAGGCAGCTCTGTAACTTTGCTCACCCAAAATGAGGACAGCGGTTTTGGCTCAGTCTGCCCCAGCTTGTCCCCCCAGGGGAAGCATATCTGGTTTTATAATTTAGGTCAGTGGGGAAATGGGCTTCACTTGGCAGTAGCTTGGTGGTGGGGATGGAGCTGCTTCAGCAAGTGCAGGACAGCGGGGTGGCCCAGCCCGGAGTCCTGACTACTAGGGAGACTCCAGGCTGCCCCAGCGGCTGAGACGTCAGGCCGGGGCTAGGCTCAGCCCGTCAGGCCGGGGCTAGGCTCAGCCCGTCGCTTTGCTGGGACTTCTGGTCTGAGCCCTGCCCTCCCTACCTTGCCAGAGAATGGCCTAAGTGAGGGATTCACTTGGTCACCCCGGGCTGCCTGTGTGAGCCTCCTCGCCCCTCAACCAAGGTTTTCAGCTGACAACAAGGTTGTCAGCGTGGGCCTCAGCCTCTTGGAGTTAGGCTATGGGGAGGGCTGTGGCTTTTCTAGGCGCTGGAGAGAAGGGCCTGTGTCTCCTTGGCCTACCCCTCTCCCCATCTGCCCACTTGTGCCTCTGTCTACAGAACAACTCCTGGGGGAAGCAGTACTCCTACGCCCTCTTCAAGGCCATGAGCCACATGCTGTGCATCGGGTATGGCCGGCAGGCCCCGGTGGGCATGTCGGACGTCTGGCTCACCATGCTCAGCATGATTGTGGGTGCCACCTGCTACGCCATGTTCATCGGCCATGCCACTGCCCTCATCCAGTCCCTGGACTCCTCCCGGCGCCAGTACCAGGAGAAGGTAGGGCAGAACGCCGGGGTCCACCCTGGGCTCTCTTAGGAGAGCCTGCCTGTTGCTCCTTCCCACAGGGAGCACGGGCTGACGGCCAGGGGGCTTCCACGGGTCCAGCCCCCTCTGATGGAGGCTCCCTGGGTAGGCGACAGAGGGGGGACTCCTCTTAGGTGACACTCAGCTCCCAGCCTTAGAACACCTCTAAATGTCTTTTATTTGTACCCCCTTTCCTCCTGCTGTAATTGGCGGCCTGTGTCTCTGGACTGAGGGCCCCTTTCCTTCCTGGCCCCCTGCCCCGTGTCCGCAGGCCCCTCAGGCCTCCTCCTCTCAGGGCCCTCCCACCAGAACTGACACGTGCTCCCTCTCTCCCTTCTTAGAAATGTCTGTCCATCCACCATCATTTGGCTTCGGCTGCTATCTTTTCTGCTCTCTGCCTCTTTCTCATGGACAAATTCCTAAAACCAACCAACGCCCCATCCAACCAACTTGCATCGTTTGTGGCTGCTGAATCTGCCCTTCTCTCAGCCTACTGAGTCTGAGGTCACCTCTGCCCTCTGTCGCTAAAGCCAGGGGGTCCTGTGGGCTCCTTGTCTTACTTGGCCTCTGACAGTTATGACTCCCTGCTGGGCTTCGTACTTGTTTGCATGACCACATGCTCTCTGCTCTTTTCCCCACCCTCCCTGGCTGGTTCATCTTCTCAGTCATCTCACGTTGGGGCCCTGGTGGTGTGGGCCCAAATCTCTGCTTCTCTCTCTCCCGTTTTCTTAGTGGCTGCTGTCTTCCCACCTCGGCCCCACCCCCACCCCATGCTCTGTATCCATCTCACTGCAGTGGGACCCAAATAGTATAATCAGCCCCCACCTCCTTCTTAAGCCCCACACTACTTGATGCCTCTATGGACCTCACCCTCATCATGTCCAAAATGAGAAGAGTCTCCAGCCTTCTCCACTCCAACCTCCCCTCTTGTCTGTCGTCTTAGTGGATACAGTAGTGCAGACGCCCAGGCCAGAAACCAGGAGCCATCTTTGGTGCCTGGTAGTGGCTGCCCATTCATCAGCTCCTTCATCCCAGCTGGCTCCTTCATCCCTTCTCCTCCATCCCAGCTGGCCACCGCCTGGGTCACGGCACCTGGAAGAACCTTAGGGAACGTCACCTCCCTCTTGTCGTCGCTCTGTAGCAGTGCTGTGTCCCCACCTCTTTGGAACGCTAGTACATCCTATTTCTGATGGTTCCTGGGGGACAGGGACGTCCCTTCCGTCCCCCTGTGGGGAACATCTGTTTCTTGCCTAATTGTGCCTCCTGTCCCAGCCATGCACCTGAGGATCCCCACTCTCCACCCACAATCCAGGGATGGCTGGAGCGGCGCCCACCCATCACCCCTGGGGGCGGGGGGCAGGAGTGTTTCTTAGTTGGTTAAGTCCTGGGCACTTAAGTTCACAAATCTCTTGTCCCCAAACCTTTACTTAACATCCCTTCTCTACCTAGCCCCTCCCTCCAGCTGGTAAGCCCAGCTGGAGTTGATCTTTAACCAAAGACAGCCTCACCGGAGGCCATGGTTGGATACATGCCCCATCTGATGCGTCAGGCATCCTGCCTTCAGTCTCCAATCCCTCCAAACCTCTAATGCAGCCCATTCTGCTGCCTCTGCCAGTTTGTTACAACTGCTGGGAAACAGCTCCTTCTAGAGTCTGTGAGCAAGGCCGCTCTGGTCCAGGTGTGACACAGAAGAGACCGACCTTTAGAGGAATCACTGTATTGAATGTGGTGAAGACTGGATGCTCTAGTGCCCCTCCTCCACCCCAAGTGGCTGGGAGTCAGGGCCACACCCGGGCGGAGGCCCTCACTCCCAAAGGTCAGCCAAAAAGGCCACAGCAGCCACGCTGGCTCTGGCCACCAGCAGCCGAGACAGCATGGTGCCAGCTGGGGCGGTCGGACCGGCTGGCTGGGAGGTGACACTCTCTCTCTCCTGGCGCTCAGTACAAGCAGGTGGAGCAGTACATGTCCTTCCACAAGCTCCCGCCTGACACCCGGCAGCGCATCCACGACTACTACGAGCACCGCTACCAGGGCAAGATGTTCGACGAGGAGAGCATCCTGGGCGAGCTGAGCGAGCCGCTGCGGGAGGTGAGCTTGGTGGCCCGGGAGGGGAGCCAGGCCTTCCTGCTGGGCCGTCCCCCTCACCTCCGCCTGCCTTTCTCAATTCACCCCATCTTGGGAGCAGGAGATCATCAACTTTAACTGCAGAAAGCTGGTGGCCTCCATGCCGCTGTTTGCCAACGCGGATCCCAACTTTGTGACCTCCATGCTGACCAAGCTGCGCTTCGAGGTCTTCCAGCCTGGGGACTACATCATTCGGGAAGGCACCATTGGCAAGAAGATGTACTTCATTCAGCACGGGGTGGTCAGCGTGCTCACCAAGGGCAACAAGGAGACCAAGCTGGCGGATGGCTCTTATTTTGGAGGTGAGCCAGCTAAGGGGTCCTGGGGGGACAGGGGGATGGGCTGGGGAGTCACTGAGGATGACATCACAGACCCTCACGCCACTGCCTGGGAGTGGGTGTCTGTGAGCCTGGCGCATGCTCAGTCCTAGCCGACTCTTTTCGACCCCACGGACTGTAGCCCGCCAGGCTCCTCTGTCCATGGGATTTCCCAGGCAAGAAAACTGGAGTGGGTTGCCCTTTCCTCGTTACAGGGGTGGTTCCAGAGATGGGAAAGTTAGTCTGGTAGCCATTTGGTTGCAGGCTGGCATCCGAAGGTGTCACAGCCTGGGGATGGGGCCTTGTGAGCCTGTCAAGCTTCTGTCCCAGACAGCAGGGCCCCAGGTCGAAGTGGAACGGGGTGGGGGTGGGGTTCTCTGGAATCTGCTGGGAGCCCCCCACTCCTGATATCCTGGCAGAAATCTGCCTGCTGACGCGGGGCCGGCGCACAGCCAGCGTGAGGGCTGACACCTACTGCCGCCTCTACTCGCTGAGCGTGGACAACTTCAATGAGGTGCTGGAGGAGTACCCCATGATGCGGCGGGCCTTCGAGACGGTGGCGCTGGACCGCCTGGACCGCATCGGTGAGCGGCCTGCCGGGAGGGAGGTGGCGGGGGCGGCGAAGGGGCTTCTGTCTGCTCCCACCCCAGCCTAAGCGCCTGATCTTGTTCGGTGGTCCAGGCAAGAAAAACTCCATCCTCCTCCACAAAGTCCAGCACGACCTCAACTCAGGCGTCTTCAACTACCAGGAGAACGAGATCATCCAGCAGATCGTGCAGCACGACAGGGAGATGGCGCACTGCGCGCACCGCGTCCAGGCCGCCGCCTCCGCCACGCCGACGCCCACGCCGGTCATCTGGACCCCGCTGATCCAGGCGCCGCTGCAGGCCGCCGCCGCCACCACTTCCGTGGCCATCGCCCTCACCCACCACCCGCGCCTGCCGGCTGCCATCTTCCGGCCTCCCCCGGGGCCCGGGCTCGGCGGCCTCGGGGCCGGGCAGACGCCCCGGCACCTGAAGCGGCTGCAGTCTCTGATCCCGTCGGCGCTGGGCTCCGCCTCGCCCGCCAGCAGCCCGTCCCAGGCGGACACGCCGTCTTCCTCCTCCTTTCACATCCAACAACTGGCTGGATTCTCCGCGCCGGCCGGTCTGAGCCCGCTCCTCCCCTCGTCCAGCTCATCCCCGCCGCCAGGGGTCGGCGGCTCCTCCCCGGCGCCCACGCCTTCCACCGCCGCGGCCGCTGCCACCGCCGGGTTTGGTCACTTCCACAAGGCGCTGGGGGGCTCCCTGTCCTCGTCCGACTCTCCCCTGCTCACCCCGCTGCAGCCGGGCGCCCGCTCCCCGCAGGCCAGCCAGCCGCCGCCCCCGCTGCCGGGGGCCCGGGGAGGCCTGGGACTCACGGAGCCCTTCCTGCCGCCCCCGCCCTCGGCCAGGTCCCCGTCGTCCAGCCCCGGGCAGCTGGGCCAGCCTCCCGGGGAGCTGTCCCCCGGGCTGGCCGCCGGCCCGCCGAGTACGCCAGAGACACCCCCGCGGCAGCCTGAGCGGCTGTCCTTGGTGGCCGGGGCCTCAGGGGGGGCTTCTCCTGTCGCCTTCACCCCCCGAGGGGGGCCCAGCCCTCCTGGCCACAGCCCGGGCCCTCCAAGAACTTTCCCAAGTGCCCCACCCCGGGCCTCCGGCTCCCACGGCTCCCTGCTCCTGCCCCCTGCATCCAGCCCCCCGCCGCCCCAGGTCCCCCAGCCCCGGGGCACGCCACCCCTCACCCCCGGCCGCCTGACCCAGGACCTCAAGCTCATCTCAGCCTCTCAGCCGGCCCTCCCCCAGGACGGGGCGCAGACTCTCCGCAGAGCCTCCCCGCACTCCTCTGGGGAGTCGGTGGCAGCCTTCCCGCTCTTTCCCAGAGGTGGGGGCGGCAGCGGGGGCAGCGGGGGCCTCGGTCTCCCCGGGAGGCCCTATGGTGCCGTCCCTGGCCAGCACGTCACTCTGCCTCGGAAGACATCCTCAGGTTCTTTGCCACCCCCTCTTTCTTTATTTGGGGCAAGAGCCACCTCTTCTGGGGGGCCCCCTCTGACTGCTGCTCCCCAGAGGGAACCTGGGGCCAGGTCTGAGCCAGTGCGCTCCAAACTGCCGTCCAATCTATGAGCTGCGTCCCCTCCCTCCTCCTCTCCTCCTTTTTTTCTTTTTCTCCCTTCTTTCTTCCTTCAGGTTTAACTGTGATTAGGAGATATACCAATAACAATAATAATTATCATTAAAAAAAACCCACACCAGAAAAACAAAAGACAGCAGAAAATAACCAGGTATTCTTAGAGCTATAGATTTTTGGTCACTTGCTTTTATAGACTATTTTAATACTCAGCACTAGAGGGAGGGGAGGGGGGAGGGGAGCAGGCAGGGCCCAAGTGCAAAAGCCAGAGGAAGGCGGTGGGGTCTCTGGGGCTTGGCAGGGGTGGGGATGACCCATGTTTGGGGTTCCTAGCGCAGACCCGTCATTGTATTCATTGTAGGGCAATAGCCACCTCTAGGCCCTTAGCTGTGAACCTGGAGCCCCACTCTGCTGGGAGTCATCTCCGTTCCTCCAGGAAGGGCTGCCCATGAGTTTGTTCCTAGGGAATTTCAGTTGCCTGAGTCCTGGGGACAAATGGGCCAGGGTCCTGAGAGTCTTGCATTTTTTTCTACTGCAAATTTAGCAAGATGTATATGTATATGTATGTAAGATGTGTATATGTATAGCTATGTAGCGCTCTGTAGAGCCATGTAGATAGCCACTCACACATGTGCACATGTGTGTGCAATCTAGTTTAACCCCATGTTGCCAGGACACCCAGGTCACCCTCCATCCAGTAACCTGCCTTGGCCCGCAGGCTGGGCACCACAGGGCCTGGGGGAAGTATCTTCTCCAGTCCTCAGGGAAGAAGACCCCAGGGTCTCTCGGCAGGCCTCCTCTTTCCCCATCTCTGGTCTCAAATCCAGCCCCAGCCCCAGCCCGACCTCCCCCCATGGAAGCAGAAGACTCCAGGCTGTGCCTCTCCAACCCTGTAGGGCCTCAAGCACATCCCATCACCTCTGTGGCCCTCAGTTTTCCCATCTGTAGAATGGGAGGGGAGGGAAGCTTCTATTTATTGAGTCTGCTCTGTGCCAAGCACTGGGTTAGCACTTTACATACATTAACTTCTTCAATTTTACAAATTGAAGGAGGTTTAGCTACTTTGATTCTTCCCACTTCACAGACGAGGAAACCAAGTATTAGTCATTGTTTCAGAATGGCATAATTACAAGTGGCAGAGCTGGGACTGATCTGAGATTGTAATCCAGGCCTACCTTAGGCTAAAGCTGATGTTCCTTTCATTAGAAAATTGTGTTGAGAGGAGCTGAATTTGACACCCATTCAGGGTATAGAAGGAAGAAACCACATTTTGGAGGTAATCAGACCTGGATTTCAACCCCAGACCTGCCACTTCTTAGCTGTGTGACTTGGAACAAGTTATCTGAGCTTTCTGTTACCCGTCTGTAAAATGGGAATACTCGTGGTACCACCTCACAAGGACCTATGAGGACCAGATGAGAACTGTAGTACATGTGACATGCCCAGCCCAGCACCTGGCACATCCCATAGTAGGTGCTCAATAAATCATGTTTCTTCTGCCCCCTCATGTGCCCAGCACCTTGCCCCAGTGAGCTATGGTGAGATCCCAAGGAGCTTTGGCTGCTGTCTCCAGGACTTACAATCTCAGGACACAGGAGGTAGCTAGAACTTTCTAAGGGTCTAGGAAGGTGTGTGGCCAGTGGTGGGCTTGACCTGGCCTCCAGGTGTGGGAAGATTACAGGGAGGGAAGGAGGAAGCAGGGAGTCAGATGGGGTGCACAGTGGGGAAATGACTGAGGTAGATGTGGAGTTGTGGAGTCAGGGGCTTTGGGAAGAGATCCAGAGGCTGTGGTCAGAAGAAAGGCCTTATGTGACAGGCTAAGGGACCTGACTTGGATTCTGAAGGTAACCAGGAGCCAGAAGCAGGTCCAAAGTGGAGGCCATTATGAAAATAGCTCAGAGCCATGGTTAGTGGTACATCCACTGCCTAAAGGGTGGGAAGAGGTTCGGCTGCCAAGGCCTGAATAATGAGAGGGGCTGGTGTTGCCTTGTCCATCTGGAACACTCCTCCACATTCTTAAACGAGAATGTTAACGAGATCAGGCTTTGTCCTGGGATGTGGACAACATTTCTCTATAGATGAGTCACGGGGTGTGAGGCAATAATCCAGGAAAGAAGAGGGGGAAGGATCCTGGGGTCTTCAGAAGAGCCACCTGGCCTTGGTCTCTACTGGGCAGAAGAATCCCCCTTGAGTTTTCAGAGCTACACATAGCAGCACCTTCTATGAGTGCTGCTCATAGAAGTTCGGCACCTACCTATGCCCCACAAGGAGGGCAGGACTGGATCCAAACTCGGTCTAGACCTGGAGGTGGCAGGGGGAGGGAGGGGGTGCAGGGCCATGAGTAGTGAGGACCCTCCCTGCCACCAGGACTTGGTCTCACCACCCTCCACACACACACAGACACACAGATACATACACACACAGTTTATGAAAGCTCTGACTCAGCCTAGCCACTCCAGAGACTGGAGAAGCCAGGTCTGGTCAGTGGACCCTTCCATCCCCCATCTCTCACAAGCAATTTTCAAATCTTCCACTTTTAAAACAGAAAACGGTAAATGCACCGAGTTGTATATTTTATTTAAATAAAAAAATTCCAGCAGATGCTGCCTTCTTCTAGGGGCAAGGGTTGGGGGGGGGTGCAGCGTGGATTCTGAAGCCTCAAGAGCCTGGCCATGGAGGGCAGTGGGACATTGTCCCTAGAGCAAGGGGTGCTTGTATGCACAAGACTCTGCCCCCAAGAGCAGGGGGTGGGGAGCAGCGCTGTGAGAGTGTGAGGTCTGGCTATGGACAGAAGTGGGCACTGTTGGTGGGCGTGAGAGTCACTAAGAAGAGGTTGAGAGGGAAAGTGTGTGTCCTTTGCTAGTGTGGGTGTGAGACCCCGACTGAGGTCCCTCCCCGCCCAGCTGTGGGGGCTGCAGAGTCCCTGGGACTCCTTGGTGCTGGAGAAGGATAGTCAGTGTGTATATGAACTCCAGTGAGATCCTGAAGAGGGAGGCGCCGTCTCAGCCTCATCAGATGGGTCACAAAAGGTTACCAGGCTGGGAGGAGGGTGTCACGGCTAGGGCAGGGGTTTGCATGTTAGAGTAGGCAAGGAGGCAACACCGCTGCTGGGCTCTTGGGGGGCTGGGGAACCAGGGAGGCCTCGCTGTTAGGAGGTGAGACATGGCGCTCCCCGCTGTGGGCGCTGGAGGGGGCGCCAGACTCCAGACCGTCCGAGAAGACCCTCAGGGCTGCTTCCTCCACCCCTCGCTGAAGGGGGTCCCGAGGGCCCTCAGAGTTGTACCTTGCAGCATAGGAGAGAGGCAGCTATCTGAGTCTGGAAAGCAAATTCCCTGGGGCTGCGCGGTGGTGGCGGAGGATTGCCGTGTTGCCAGCGCTCCAGAGGGGAAAGTCCTCAGAAAAGGGCAGGGAATCCGTTCCCATCCCCATCGGTGATTGCCTAGTAGATGGTGTTGCCATGGTAACTGGCCTGGGAGTCCCGTTGCTAAGGAGGCAGCTGCAGCAGGCCCTGCGTCCCCATGACAACTGCCCCCTGCGGCCCAGGAGGCCATGGGTCCTCAGGGGCCCACCAGGAGGGCAGGGCAAAATGCAGGCCTGTCATCTGGGACTATGGGGAGGCCTTTGCAGACAGACAGCCACTGGGGGGTGGGAGGGATTAGCTACATGCCCAGCCAACTTGCAAGAGGTAGATCCGGGATACTTGCCTCCACTCAGCCCCTCGCTGGATCCACCACAGGCTTGCACTGGGCCTTGCACCTCCACTGGGGGCTGGAGCAATACCAGTCACTATCTTTGTTCCCTGACTACAAAAGGACACTTAGTAAGCACCTACTGTGTGCTGGGCACTTGGTGCTTTCCTGTTCTCTCATTCCATCCTCAAAAAACCCTAAGGGAGGGCCTCAATATAGTGAGCCCAAGGGCTCAAAGAGGGAACCTGCCTAGACCAGTTGGCTAGAATGCGAAGGAGCCAGGGTGCACACCTGGGGTCTGGTGACTCAAACCTGATCACTCCCATTGGTGGCATGTACCAAGGGCTGAGTGCCAGGTGCAGTCTGTTCATGCAGGCAAGAAGGGGTGCACAGTCTGTAGAAAATTCTTAAAACAATATAAATGACTGAATGTGGTTTCCTTTCTCTTACCTTTCACCATCTCCAGCTAGCAGCAATTCTGAACAGTCAGTAATGATACACTTCTCCCCACCAGGGCAGTCAGCCGGCCCCTCCTTAAAATGCCAGCGGACTCCAGCGGACACCTGCCGTGCTTACAGCTGCCAGTTGCCCAAAGACACTCTCTGCCCTAGTGAGGTTAAATCAGACTTGGAGTTTTTAAAAAAACATTTTAAAAATTGAATAAAATCCCTCCTTGACTCTGAGTCTCTTCCCAGCTGCCCCTCCTCATCTTGTCAGCCAAACTTCTTGAGAGTTTTCTGGACGCCCCACATTCATTTCCCTTCCTCTGAGTCACCTCCTCCTAAACAGCAATCTGGCCCCCGCCTCTTCTGCACAGAACACGGTAGACAAGGTCCTCCCCGGTCCCCTGGTAAATCTAAGGCGGGTCTCCGCTGGTGTTGTCCTGCTGCCCAGCCCACCCCAGCTTTCAGGACCTGCTTTCCTCTCACTGCTCTTTCCGTTCAGCCTCAGAAGAAAGAGCTCTTCTTTCTCCCGAGGCTCAGTGCTTCTGGGCCCCCGGCCATGACCCCATCATCTTCTCTCTGCCGACTTGCTTCCTGGAAGCCTCGCCCGTACTCATGGCTTCCCGCTCAGTTCAGGCCCCCACATGGATGAGGAGCCGTGGTCAACCACGGTCCTTTCATTCTTGAGTTTGCAGTTTCCAGTGCATCCAGAGTGAGTCTTCTCCAATCCCGGCCCTCCCCTGATGTGGCATTTTCAATTTTCTCTTGAGGGTGGAATATTTCATACACACAGAAGAAGATATAACCATAACAAATACTTAATATTAAAAATGTGATAAGTAGCCATACACCAATCACTTGGTT